ACAGCAGTTCTGGTTACATAATTTGCAGGATCCAGTGCAAAATGAAAATGAAGGACGCTCTGATCAAAACTTGGAGATTCAAGATGATAGTAAAAAAGCATTAAACCAAGTGTGGCCCTTCTGACAAGGGCTCAGAGTGGCTGTAAAGGCCACGTGCCTATGAAGCCAAGAGGCTGTCAACAGACCAGAGTCGATTGACGATGACAGTAATTTCAAATTTGCTAATAATACAATGGATGAAAAACTGTCAAAAATTTCTAATAAGATCATATTGAAAAATAAATGTTTGAGAAATATACCAGTGACATTTCAGCAGATTCAGCTAAGAAGCAAAATATAGGTAGCAAGAATACTCTATTTATTTTTTAAACATTTAGATAATCAGTATATTTTTAAAATTTTGCTTTATGTTTTTTAATTTATGCTACTTAATTTATAATCTTTTGAAAAAAATATATTTCTATTTTTTAATGTTTATTTTATTTTTGACAGAGAGAGAGAGAGAAACAGAACATGAGCAGGGGAGGGCAGAGAGAGAGGGGCACACAAATCCAAAGCAGAAAGAGAGGGAGACACAAAATCTGTCTGTCAGCACAGAGCCTGATTCTTTCCTTTCTTTCCTTCTTTCATTCATTCATTCTTTTTTTTTTTTTTAGAGAGAGGGAGAGATGCACAAGTGAGCAAGAGGCAAGAGGGGGTGGAGGGGGAGAGAGAGAGAGAGAGAGAGAGAGAGAAGTGGGGCTCACCCGATGCGGGACTTGAACTCATGAACCCTAAGATCATGACCTGAGCAGAAACCAAGAGTCGCATGCTCAACTGACTAAGCCACCCAGGTGCCCATGATTTCACACTTTAATATTTCACGTTATACAGATGTGTATATGTGTTACATAGGCTTTAGATACTAAAAGAATAATTCTAGGTTTTCAGAAAAATATGTGAATGGTTCTCTAATTTGATTTCAGCTGTGTGTTGATCTATTTCTTCTAAGAATAGGGGAGGAAAAGGAAATGTTACTTCTAAAAAAGAATATTTTTAAGTTAGCTACAAGCTCACAGAGAAGTTCTGACACCTACTTTCAGCATTCATTTCCCTTTGCAGCCCACTACTTTTTAGGAGAGTTACATGTATGCCTGTGAATTTCAAGAAAACTGTAATATAATTGCCCTTGGCATTCTAAGAAAGTATCTAAATGACTGTAAAAAGAGAGGGTTTTTAATGAGATTTGGAACACTTTTCTAACCTTGAGAAGAAAACTTATCTAAAGTTTTATCTACATATTAAAATAATAACAGCAATATATAAGTGGCATTTATCTCAAAAGAGAGCAATGGAAATTAAGTTGGTGTATGTAAAGGGCTCTGCATTTGCTCCAGCTTATCAAAAAACAACTATCAATAAATGGGTCTATTATTGTATCAATTAGCCACTGTCTTCCACTGTCTTCTCCTGTAAGGTTAGATAGCTATTTCTGCATCTGCTATTAAAATTTTTCTCTTTTGTTCTAAGAATGAGACACAGATGATGTTAATTTTATCACGTTGCATTGCATTGACTGGATTCCTGGGATAAATTCAACTTTTCCATACTATCCTTATATTATCAAGGCTGTGCTAGCCATGTGCAATGAGTCATTTTTTAGTTTTGTTCTATTTTGTTTTGTTTGATTCTCAGCATATTTTGGCTAAGATTGATTTGTGTCTTGATTGCTACATATAGTTTCGCAGGTTCCATCTGACTGCAAGGCTTGCCCTGTTTACCAAGATCCAAACTGTCGCAGCAAGGAAGTGAACAAAAACATGGCCTCAGTACATTCACAAAATAGTTGGGCCTTAACTGATGATTCCATTCTCCTCTCCTCAGACCATGTATGAAAGCTTCAGAAAGATTAATATGAAGTCAAAGTATTTTATTGAAATAAAGATACTGAAATGCATCCAAGGACAGGCATCTCTCCTGGCTCTGGCCACCATCCGCATGGCCACTGTAGGCCAACTGGCCAAATTCAGACAGGACTATTCCAACCACAACTGTGCCTGCACTGATACTTTAACACTGAGTAGTTTGAAAGAATTAACTGATATAAGAACTTGAGGAGGAAAGAGAATAAGATAGGAGAAATGTGAGAGAACATCCTTGCAGGTATTTATGACGACTTCAAAGGAAAGAACATCCCCAACAAAATATTAGCAGAATGAATTCAACAGTACATTAAAAGGATCATACACCACAATCATGCAGGGTTTATTCCAGGAATGCAACATCCAGAAATCAATCAACGTGATACGTCACATTAACACAACGAAGGATAAAAATCATATACTCAACCCAATAGATGCAGAAAAAGCATTTGACAAAATTCAACATCCATTCATGACAAGTGTTCCTCAACAAAGCAGGTGTGATGGGAACACATCTCAACATAATAAAGGCCATATATGACAAGCCCACAGCTAAAATCATACTCATTGGTGACAAACTGAAAGATTTTTCTCTAACATCAGATGTCAACTGTCAGCACTTGTATTCAACATAGTACTGGAAGTTCCAGCCAAAGCAACTAGGCAGGTAAAATTGTCTCTATTTACAGATGATATGATATCATATATATATATATATATATATATATATATATATACACACATACATATATAACCCTGAGGAGTCTACACACACACACAAAAAGAACTGTTACAAATGGCAAACAGATTCAGCAAAGTTGCAGGATGTAAAATCAATATACAAAAATCAGTTCTGTATCTATACACTAATAACAAATGATCAGAAAGAGAAATTAAGAAAACAATCCTATTACAATTGCACCAAAAAGAATAAAATACCTAGGTATAAATTTAGCCAAGGAGGTGAAAGACCTGTACACTGAAATCTATAAGTCATTGATGAAATAAATTGAAGACACATAAATAAAATTACATTCTGTGCTCATGGGTTGGAAGAATTAATACTGTTAAAATAGCCATGCTACTCAAAGCAATACACAGATTCAATGTAACCCCTATCAAAATCCTGGGGAAATGTTTTGGAGAAATAGAACAAACAATCCTATGATGTGTGTGGAACCACAGAAGACCCCAAAGAGTCGAAGCTATTTTGAGAAAGAACGGAGTTGGAGGCATCACAGTTCCTAATTTCAAACTATATTACAAAGCTATAGTAATCAAACTGTATGGTATTGGGTCTGAAAACAAAACCAGACACAGATTAAAGATAGATTAACAGAAGATTAACATGGATATTAACAGAAACAAACCCACATATGTATGGTCAATTAATTCACAACAAAGAATCCCAGACTACACAACAGGGAAAGAACAGTCTCTTCAGTAGTGTTGGGAAAACACAGCCACATGCAATGAATGATTCTGGACCGCTATCTTACACTATACACAAAAATTAACTCAAAATAAGTTAAAGATTTAAACGTAAGATCTGAAACCATAAAACTCCTAAAAGAAAACATGAGGGGGGGGGTGAGCTCCTTGACATTGGTCTTGGCAATGATTTTTTTGTATATGACATCAAAAGCAAAGACAACAAAAGCAGAAACAAGTGGTACTACTTCAAACTAAAAAGTTTCCATACCATGATGGTAAAGGAAACCATCACCAAAAATGGTCTCCTATGGAATGGTATGAAAAGGTACGACAAGGTAACCTATAAAATGGGAGAAAATATTTGCAAATCATACATCTAAGAAGAACTCATATCTATATATCTATCTACCTCTATCTACATATAGATATGTTTTATATAGATAGATAGGTAGATAGGTAGATAGATATAGGCATATATATGACTCATACAACTCAACAGCAAAACAAACAACCCAATTCAAAACTGGGGAGAGTAACTGAATAGACATTTTGCCAAAGAAGACATCCAGATGGCCAACAGACAACTGAAAAGATGCTCAGCATCACTCCTCATCAGGGAAATGCAAATCAGAACCACAATGAGATAATCAACTCATAACTATTAGAAAGATTATATCAAAAAGATGAGAAGTCCCAAGTGTTGGCAAGTATGTACAGAAAAGGGAACCCCTCTGCACTGTTAGTGGAATTGTAAATTGGTGAAACCATATGCTTCAGCAATTACACTTCTGGATACATACCCAAAGGAAATGAATCACTCTCTCAAAGAGATATCTGCACCCCCATGTCCACTGTGGCATTATATAAAATAGCCAAGACATGGAAACAACCTAAGTGCCCAATGATGGATAAATGGATAAAGAAAATGTGGTAAACACACACACACACACACACACACACACACACACACACACACACGAATATTATTCAGCCATAAAAAAAGAAGGAAATCCTGCCATTTGTGACAACATGGATGGACCTTTAGGGCATTATGCTAATGAAATAAGAGAAAGACAAATACTATATGATCTCACTTACATAGAGAATCTAAAACAAGGGGTAAAACCCCCAAATTCATAGATACAGAAAACAGATTGGTGGTTGCCAGAGGTGAGGGCTGGGGCAAAGGTGAGTGAAATGGGTAAAGATGGTCAGACTTCCAGGCATAAACTTCCAGGTATATGAAATAAATCTTGGGCATAGAATGCACAGCATGGTGACTATATTCTTTTTAAAAGGAAAGAACAGACCCCGCACACCCTACAAACTCAATTCCACAATATTTAAATGTAACAAAGCATTTCTTTCCTGTACACAGTTTTTAAATAATTTTTCCTGATTATTTAAGAACACACATTCGTTGTAGAAAAAAATTTAAATATATATGTATATATATATACATATATATGTATATAAACACATATTTTGCTTATTATTTTTTGGATATATATCTATATCTATAGATAGATGATAGATATAGATATCTATAGATATAGATATAGATATAGATATAGATATCTATAGATATAGATATAGATATAGATCTACAATCCTGGAACCTATTTTAAACATGTTAGCGTGTAAATTTCTTGCAGTTCTACTCACCTGAAGCCAACGGGATTTTGGATCTGCTCAAGATGATCCTAACAGCCAGATTCTGGGTCATGCCCACTATGGAACAGATCTTAAGAAACGGCAGTGAAATCCCAGCATGGAAGGGAGCTCAGTAGCGCGCGACCCCACGACTCGGGAGACATTCCTAGGTGCACCCAATCCCTGCTCCAATGGCCGCCCCTCCTGGGATTCTTCATCCCCGGTGCCCTGGTCCCCGCCTCCACCTGCCAGGAACGCCCGGCTCCGTGCTGCCCACCAGCGGGCATGTACGATCAGGATCAGCTGGTGCGCGACATCCGCAGTCCATCCATTTCCACCCAGGCTGTGCGGCCCGGCCGCCGCCTCCCTGCGGTCAACGCGCAGAGGGGCCCGCTGGCCGCCACTACCCGGTGCGCAGGGCCTCCAAGCTTCCGACGCCTACAAGCTCAGTGAGGCCACGGCCCTGAGGCCCCTCCTCTGAGAACTGAGGCTGAATCGAAGGAGGCGGGGCCTCGCAGCACCTTCCCTCTAGCCGTTCTGGAGGGGTGTGCGCCCTAGCGGGTTGCCTGGAGCCCGGCTCTAGTTTCACACTCAGGGCCCTTGTTCAGGATCCAGTTTCATGTGTTTTCGGGGCTAGAATTGTCCCAGCCCCGCTTTTCCGGATGGTAAAACAGAAGCCAAGAGGCGAGACTTCCCGTTGGAGGCTGGAACATTTCCGTCTCTCTGGCGCAGCTTTGCTGATTGCCCTGGCGGGAGCTTCGGTCTCCACTCAGCCCACCAGAAGGAGAAGTTTGGAGTTCTGTCCCTTTGCTGGTTGCAAGAAATTGTTCACGTTACTTAACTTGCTGGGCCTCAGATTCCTCCTGGGTTTATTCATTGCTGAGGATCAAATAAAATAATCTATGTAAGGGGCGCCTGGGTGGCTCAGTCGGTTAAGCGGCCGACTTCGGCTCAGGTCACGATCTCACACTCCGTGAGTTCGAGCCCCACGTCGGGCTCTGTGCTGACAGCTCGGAGCCTGGAGCCTGTTTCAGATTCTGTGTCTCCCTCTCTCTGACCCTCCCCCATTCATGCTCTGTCTCCCTCTGTCTCAAAAATAAATAAACGTTAAAAAAAATTAAAAAAAAAATAATAATCTATGTAAAACACCTAATGCAAATCAGGTGCTTGGTAAACCTTTGTGAATGGGTGGGACCAACTTCTTCCTAGAATTAAAATCTGGGAGGATTTTATGTTGTAGATCCTTACAGGAAACTGCAGAACATAATGGAAATGTCTTCTGGTGCAGTTTCATAAAAGATGTGGAAACATTATTCAGGTGACTGTGCCTCTTACTAAAATTAGATATTGAGTGACCATTCAAAGGCAATTTGATAGCTACAGTTTTAGAGACAATTCTGTGGGAGCTCTTAGAGCAGCATGCATGTTGTTTATTCTGTGTGCGTTGTGACTTTTCACATGGTTAAGGTCTTACTGTATTATAGGTCTATAGGTCTAGTGGTCTGACGGCCAATGTTCACGTTTGTAACTTACTACTGACACAGCCTGACAGTTCTCCAGAGAGCAGCAAACACACACAGTGCTGGGGCACGGCAGGTGGGGGGGTGGGGATAGGGGTATGACAGTGACCCAACCAGCAACCCCACATAGCCCCTCTTTTGTCTTCTCAAACCACTCATAACATTGTTTCGTTCAGACCCAGCTGATGAAATTATGAAGCGTGGTTTGTGAGCAAATGGTTAAGAATTCTTGAGACGTTTTTGGTGCAAAAAGGTGATTTTTATCATAGCATATAGAGAGGACCAGTGGGCAGAAAGAGCTGCCCTGGGATTGTGAGGAGTGACTGATTATATACTTCTAAGTTTGTAGGGGGAGGGGATAGAGATAAGTTTTTAAGGAATTTTGAAGCAAGGCTTTTAGGACCTTGAGGGGCTAGCTGCTAAGATAAGGTTGCTTTTCACTTTAATAAAACATAAACATTAAGGCACTAAGGCAGCATGAATTTCTTTAGGAAGGTCACACTCTGTATGTTTCAGGTGTTTACCAGCCGGCTGCAAGCTGCAAGGAGTTTTAATTTTAAGCTACATTTCTCTTGCCTTTGTTTCCCTCATCACCAGCCTCTCCCCACGGCTAAGCTGTTGGCTTGGGTACAATGGAGAAAGCGGACCAGCAACAGAAGGGAAATACGAATCGCATCAGTGAAGTTCTGATTGCATCAGGATAGGTCCTGGACGAAGTCCTTGAGGGTGTCTCCAAAACACAGCACAGCCCTCCCACTTGAACCTGAACCTCACCTGTCGATAGGTTCCAGTGTCACTGAGCACGGTGATCATGTTTCTAGCAAGTAACACAAGTGGCCACAGAAACCTTAGCCACCTTGTCTCTAATACTTGCAGTAAAACAAAATTTTCTGGTATTTACAACTCAGGATGTGGACTTAGACTGCACCACTGTGAACAGAACCTGCCTAATCATCTCCGGCCCCTGGTGGCAATTTAAAATGTTCAGGGAGAGGTGCCTGGGTGGCTCAGTTGGTTGAGTGTCTGACTTCGGCTCAGGTCATGATCTCATGGTTCATGGGTTCCAGCCCCGCATTGGGCTCTGTGCTGAGGGCTGGGAACCTGGAGCCTGCTTTGGATTCTGCATCTCCTTCTCTCACTACCCCTCCCCCTCTCACACTCTGTAACTCTCCCTCAAAATAAATAATAAAAACAATTTAAAAATTAAAAAAAAAAGTTCAGGGAAACTGGCTGTTGGTCATCTGAACAGGTGTGTGACCACAGATCTCTAGGATTGCAAGCTACAATCACAGAAAAAAAGCAGAAACACAGGTGGCCAATGGGACTGCTTTCTCTCCTAAGTTAACTGCTCTCCCTGCTTCTCTGCAGACTTCTGGGACACTCGCTTGCAACAAGTTTTGGGATAGAGCGCACCACAGGGGGTCTCCAAGGCCTGCAGCTCCTCACAGGGTGTGTCACTAACAGTGCCACCGAACAGAGAAGAGAGAGGCACTAGGTACCCTCTTGTGCCTGGAAAAGAGCCACACTCTGCCCAAGTGAAGACCTGAGGGCCTCGCGGCTACGAGCATGGGTGGGACCTCTCAGAGCAGGGGGATTTGCTAAGCAGCTAGTGCTGGCCCGGCCGACATGAGCACAGACCTTCCTGAATGGCAGTTTCGGATCCTAGAGGACATCAGACATGTGAACACACGAACATACACAAGTCCAGAACATGGGATTTCAAAACGGGGCCTTTTATTTTTGGATTGTCACCAAAGGTCACTTTGCATTGTAGGCACATTGTGAAGTGTCAGAGGAAAAGTGGGTCAGCAGGAGAGAGGAGAAGGACCACGAACAGTGCCAAACATCTCCTTATGGGGAGGAGAATCGGCCACAGAACAGGATACTGTTGGTTTTGCTGTGCTGGATGAAGAAAAGGAAGGGGTGGTCGGCACAGAACCTGGGCATGATTCTTGCACATCGCAACATCATGATGGCCGCAGTGGCAGCTGCGGCCTCCGTGCCTTCCTCGTTGACCTCCACAAAGGACTTGTGCACCACCCTGGACAGATACAGGTCTTTCCTGGACGACATTCCAGAAAAGTCTGCCTTGGCCTGCTCGAAGGCATCGGTCATGCCCAGCGTGCAAAGGACGTTCTCCATGTTGTAATTCTCCTCCAGTTTGAATCTAGGGAGGAACACTTCCACCTCTTCTTCATCCAGCATGTCTGGCCTCGTCCATTCTGTGAATTTCTCATAAGTGATTTCTTTCTCCACCTAGAAGAGAGTAGAAGATTTTTAGATCCAGACCCGTGCTGCCCAACAGAACTATCTGCTGGGATGTGAATGCTCTGGGCTTTGCGGGGCGAGACAACAGTAACAGGAAGTGACAATAGCTTTAGAAACTGTTCACACGATCCCCTTGCGATCATAGCGTGATTATTGCTCAGCATTTGTTACCGTTTTCAAATCGATGTTTTCATCTGGAAGCATGATGATCATATTCAGCTCTTTACCCACATAGGGAAGCACCAGAATTTGGGTGAATATTTCTCCAATATAGGTTATTTTAAAGGTGGATTTTTTAAACATCATTTGCACAGGTTTCTCCTCATTCTAAAATGGAAACAGATAAATGTTAGGTTGAAATAAGACCCAGTGGACACATTGGACAAATTGACAGAACTGGCCAGCCTGGGTTCTACAAACACTTACTTCCTTGGTTTCCAGAATACCACCTCAGCCCCCTCTTTTGCCAGCCCATCTTCCTTGCCTCAGCCTCCAAACCCTGGGGTACTCAGGGCTCAGTCCTTACACTGCTTGTCTCCTGGTGACCTCAATCCTGTGACTTTATTTTTTTTTTTAACGTTTTTTATTTATTTTTGAGACAGAGAGAGACAGAGCATGAACGGGGGAGGGGCAGAGAGAGAGGGAGACACAGAATCGGAAGCAGGCTCCAGGCTCTGAGCCATCAGCCCAGAGCCCAATGCAGGGCTCGAACTCACGGACCGCGAGATCGTGACCTGAGCCGAAGTCGGCCGCTTAACCGACTGAGCCACCCAGGTGCCCCAATCCTGTGACTTTAAACAGAATCCCCCAACTTAGATTTCTAGCTGGGACTTCTCCCATGTACTCCACATATATTACACTCCCAAACATCTTACTGCTTACTTGGGACCTGCATTTGTACATTAAAGAAACCTCCAATGTCATATGTCACACTGGGCTCTTCATATTCCCTTCCAGGTCTGCTCTACCTACAATTTTCTTCATCTCAAGTGATGGCAATGCCACTCATCCCATTGTCAAAAACTAAGGAGTATCCCTGACTCCTGTCTTTCACCGCACAATGGACTCATTAACAAATCACACTGGCTCTGCTTTTAAAATATTAACATAAATGAGATCACACCTTTCTGCAGCTCCCCCTCTACTCCCAGGGAGTAAAAAAGCTCAAGTCCTTAAAAAGACCTGTAATTCTGACAAGAGCTTGTCCCGCATGCCCTGTGCTCCCATCTCCCTTTGCCCCTTGATGGTTCCATGGTCAATCCCAACAAGTTCGACCCCAAAACCTGGAGAGCCCACCTGAAACCGTACCCCCATCCACAACCTGTGTCCCTCCTCTGTGTCTGTCTCTGGGTCACTACCACTATCTCATACACTCTTCTTTTCTTATTTACGCTGTCTCACCCCCAGAAAGACCTAATCTTCATGGGAGGGATGAGTCGCTGGTTTTGTACACACTGTGATAGTACCTTGCACGAAGCCTGCTCTCAAACCAACATCTGCTGAATAAATGGATAAACAACTAAAGGACGGGAAAACTGAAAGGACCAGGCAAAATGAACACATCTTACTAGGAGAAAAATGCATTTGCCACCAGTGCATCCCCAGCCAGGCAGTAAGAAAGACCCAAGGACAGCAACCACATCTCAGCCAACAGCCCTCCTCCGCTCCTGATTCATGTGCAGTGTAAGACCTACAGCTGCTGTGAATCTGTCTGGCCCCAAGCTGCAGTCCCCAGTTCTCTGGGGCAGCACATTATTCTGTATTAGATGGAAGAAACTTCTGTTACCGCCTCCCATTGGTGCCTCTCAAAGGCTCGCCTGAACTGGCCTCAGCCACACCTGCCCCCTCGTTCCTCGTTCCTCATTCAGTCCTCGGCCAGTTATCAGCACACTTGTTCTATAATAACAGGCCAGGTAGTAAATATTTTCAGCTTTATGGACCATACAGTTTCTGTCCCAACTGCTCAACTCTACAGTTGTAGCACGAAATACCTAAACAAATAGATGTGCCTGTGTTCCATTAAAACTTTATTTAAAAAAAAAAAAAAAGTGGTGGGCTGGTTTTGACCTCAGGGTGCATGCGGTTTGCCAAGCCTTGCCTGAGGCAATTTCTCCTTCTACCCATCCAGGGCTCAAAGCCCCTAGTCTTAGAATATAAAAGGATCCAATCTCAGAAAGGGAATGATTCATTAAATACACAACTGTGTATATAAATTTAGTCTTATTTAGAAATAAAGGCATTTTAAAAATCCAGATGAACTAAAATCTGTTCACTTTCAGACACAATGACCTCCACCCCCCAAAGGCCTGTGCACTCAACACCTACTACCCTCCTTCTGTCTTTCTCCACTGGGGAGATGAGGAAGCAAGACAGAAGTCTTCACCTCCCCTCAGCTATGGCAGAAGCCACACCTGACAGAAGACCTAACTCTGGCCCATGAGATACAGAAGACAGGTTTCACTTTCTGAATGTCAGAACCCTGAAAGAGGCTTTGCTCTGCCTTTTGTCCTTTCCCTTCCTCCTGCCTGGATGACAGATACCATGACGGTGACCCTGAAAAAGGGCCACATACTAAGCATAGCAGAGCAGGAAGAGAGACAGTTGGTTCCCTGGGAGCGCCTGCCACCCCAGTACCCCGGCAGCCCTACTCCCTGCCCACCTGCAGGTCTCTGCTAGGGGACATGAACTTTCCATGAATCAAGTCCTAATATACATCTTATTAAAGATTAATTTCAAGGAAAGAAATAATTTCCCCAGGTGAAAACAGGGCAACTCATTTCAGAATAAAGCTCAAAGGGGGGCAGCTGGGTGACTCAGTCAGTTAAGCATCTGACTTCAGCTCAGATCCTGATGTCACAGCTCATGGGTTCGAGCCCTGTGTCGGGCTCTGTGCTGACAGCTTGGCGCCTGGAACCTGGAGCCTGCTTGGGATTCAGTGTCTCCTTCTCTCTCTGTCCCTCCCCCACTCGTATTCTGCCTCCCTCCTTCAAAAGTAAACATTAAAAAAATTAAAAAAAAAAAAAAAAAAAAGAATAGGAGCCCCTGCATGGCTCAGTCGGTTGAGCATCCAACTTTGGCTCAGGTCATGATCTCATGGTTCATGGGTTCAAGCCCCAAATCAGGCTCTGTGCTAAGAGCTCGCTCAGAGCTTGGAGCCTGCTTCGGATTCTGTTTCCTTCTCTCTCTGCCCCTCCCCTGATTGTGCTCTCTTTGTCTCTCAAAAATAAATGTAAAAAAAAGTTTTTTTCTTTAAAGAATAAAGCTCAAAGGAAAATACATTTCTTGAGAAACTGAAAGTTCAGGCTCATGTCTGCTTAGAAGATCTAACTCATGGTCAGTGATCCAGAACAGGCTGTAATTGATCTATTCTGTCTACTTAAGGTGTATGTGCAAAAATCTCTACAGTTAATTTAAAAAGAAAGAATATACTAGATTCGGTGACAGAAAAGATATAAGGCCACCACAAATAACCTCTTCAAATGTGGGGACAGCTCAACATGATGTCTATCCTATATACATGTCCTTTTGTTTGCTTGTTTTTAAACAAAAATTAGTGTTTGTTATCCTTATCATCCAAACAAGACTGCAGATGGGACATCTGTTCAGTATTTATTGAGTACCAACTACATGCCCGGCACTTGTGAGACAGCCATCTATCTGCCCTCCTCAGGTGGTGCTGGGTATCCAACCTCTGCAGTGCTACCCTGAGGACCCACAGGGGGCACTGTGGCCACTGAGAGGAGTGGGACAGAAATCCCCACGGGGAAGGAGGACTGTTAGGGAAGGTTTCCAGATGCTCCTGGAAAGGAAGGAATATATAGGTACTCATGGCAATGAAGACAGAGAAATGGAGATAAATGGGTAGGATCCAGGTCTGCAAAGAACCTTATATACCATATTTTGGTCCAAACTTTATCTCAAAAGTTCTAGAAAGCCAAAAAGACCTTAAGACTGACAACTGACATCAGATTTGTGACTGTAAGCAGAACACCTGGCAACAGTATGGCAGGTGACATGGGGAGCCAGACCGGAAGCCTCTGAGTTCAGAGCTACTTTTGATGACACAGCAAAGGAGAAAGGGAAGGCGTGATGGGGAGCCCTTATGCTGGACTGCTGAAGGCCATACAGGCCACAAGCTACTTGAGATGAGCTTTCTTGCAAATTTTAAAAACCAGGGTGAACACAGGGACTGTTTCCAAGAATCTCCTTTGTTAACGTGAAATATTTACCTTGCTGACTTTAAACGGTCTTTCTGTGGTCTGGCTTTTGTTAAACTGACTATCCCAGTTTCCTTTGAAATAGATGGCATTCACGAGAATCAGGTTCGTCACTGGGTCAACTGAACCTGGAGATAACAACTGTGTAATTTTACCTGAAAAGAAGAATTAAAGAATCAATGAATTTCCCCATGGTCAGAGAAAGACAAATACCATGTGATCTCACTGATATGTGGAATCCAAGAAACAAGAGAAAGGAATAAAGGGGAAAAAAGAGAGGGAGAGACAAACCAAAACAACAGACTCTTAACTATAGAGAACAAACTGATGGTTACCAGTGGGATGTGGGCAGGGGACAAGTTGAAACAGGTAAAGGGGATTAAAAGAACACTTATCTTGATGAGCACTGAGGAATGCACACAAGTGTCGAATCAATATACTGTACACCTGAAACTAATATTACGCTGTATGTTAACTAACTCGAATTTAAATTAAAAAAAAAAAAGAGTTTCCTGATGCATTCATCAGGGATAATATTTAAATTGGGCAATCCCCTTGTGAGGTACACAGATAAAGGAGTTCACAGTCCCCCAAATATAACCACATAAGGGGATTCTGGTCCTTATAACAACAGTAGCAACAAAAACTTAAAACGCCCTGGTAAGAAAAATACCATGCCTTCAAGAAAACATAAGATGAACAAAGAAGTATGTGCAGGCTGAATTCACAAGGTGGACAGAAGGGAATGCTTGGTCCCTTGAAGAAAGAGATTTGATGGACAGTCAGAAAGGTGAGAGGCTAGGAGTGCACAGAAGAGTTTAAGAGCTGCAGGTGAATAAGGGCCTAACCAAAGATCCTGCAATAACACACGGTAACTATACAGGATGAGACCTGTATCTGGCTTTTTCTTTACTGTACATTAACATTAACAACAACAATGGCAACAAAGTGGATCATTCTGGAACAGCTGTACCGAGTACTGAGAGACATCACAGACACATTGACAAAAACAGGGAAGAGCTAGAGAAAATAAGCATACACTGACAGTATTTCAGAAGCAGATTTTAAAAATTTACAGTTATTTAGAGAAAAGCATCATTCCTCTTTACATTTTGATGGTCTTGTGAAAGAGGACAGTGAGACCAACTAAGCTACTATTAAGATAGAGCAATGGTGTATTTTCACCTTCCGTCTTTTCAGCTACCCAGGTGTTGATGTGTTCCCTGGACTCTTCTGTAGCGTTAATAAAGTCGAGCTCTTCCATCTCTGCCTGGTAGAATTTACGGCAGGAGTCTTTGAAAGACTAGGAGAAACATAGCAACATCATCACATGGCTGCAGAAATAATCAACACTTACAGCTTATTTCTTCACTGCACCAAATCAGAATGTAGGCAATTTTGATTTACATACGTAACGTACAAATAAATACGAGGAATTAACTGAAAATCCTATTTCTCGTTTTTCAGCTACATTTAAACTTAGCTTCTAAACCAAGTAAAACAGTTGTCTGAACATCAAATATCAATAACTACCAGATTCTTTGAGGGATTAACTGCACATCAGTGAGGTAAGTACAAAGACACGGAGACGCAGCTACTACAGAGTGTCGTTCCTGACAAGCCGCTGCGTTTGCTCTGTGAGTCCTGCCCACAGCAAGAGCCACAGCTGCCTGTGCATTTCAGAACAATGGACTGGAAACAAGGGCCTGCTGTTCCATACAATGGTGGAAAGTGTATGATTCTACACCACCCCTCCCACTACAACGTTCTGTGATGATGGCAATATTCCAAATCTGCACTGCCCAAAACAGTGCCACGTGCTGCTATTGAATGCTTGGAATATTGTCAGTGCCACTGAGGAACTGAATACTGAACTGTAATTTTAATTATTTACACTGAAATTTAAATAGCTACATGTGTCTAGTGGCTACCATTTGGGATGGCTCAGTTTTAGAGAATGAGCAGCTCTCAAAAAAAAGTATAAACTGTATCATGTTAACAAAGTCTATTAAATGATGATGACATTAGTGAACACATACTTTATGCCATATAAAAGCAGAAAATCTGATAGAGAGTAAATGGAGTGAAATAACTAATTTGTGGAAAGCATGCTATGGAATGGTTTCCCAATCCTTCTTTTGACCAGCTTACAGCTAAATATTTAATTTCCCTTTTCAGGACTGTTTTTCTATTACAGGATTTCACATTGCTCCTTTGATATAGTGTCAGAGAGGTCACGTGGCACAGTAATGTAGCTACAAACACAAGTCCTGCAACTTATTAGCTGTGTGGCCTTTAAAAAGTCACTTTGTTTCTCGAAGCTTCCTTGTCTTTCCCTGTAAATGAGGATTCGGCATCCATCCGAGGACCAGATGAATTCTTATCATCAATGCTGTTTTATGAAATCTCAGCATGTCACAGACACTGCACTAGGTGATCTAGGTATATCGTTTTACTTAGTCCTCAGATACTTTGTGCTCCGCCAACTTTGCTGCTCTGCTGTTGCTCAATGCCTTTGAAAATGTTTTCAGTCTCTCAATCTAAGAAAATAGTCTGGAAGCAAACTGGGCACTCATGTATTGATCCTTGGGTGATTTCTACAACTTTTTATTTATTTAAATCCAAGTTAGTTAACATATGGCGTAATCATGATTTCAGGAATAGAATTGAGAGATTCATCACTTATATATAACATCCAGTGCTCCTCCCAACAAGTGCCCTCCTTAATGATCATCACCCATTTAGCCCATCCCCCTCCCACACCCCTCCAGCAACCCTCAGTTTGTTCTCTGTATTTAAGAGTCTCTTATGGTCTGTCTCCCTCTCTGTTTGTATGTTATTTTTCCTTTCTTTCCCCTGTGTTCATATGTTTGTTTCAATTTCTATAACTTTTAAACACGCTTGAAAATAATTATTTGCGGGACGCCTGGGTGGCGCAGTTGGTTAAAGCGTCCGACTTCAGCCAGGTCACGATCTCGCGGTCCGTGAGTTCCAGCCCCGCGTCAGGCTCTGGGCTGATGGCTCAGAACCTGGAGCCTGTTTCCGATTCTGTGTCTCCCTCTCTCTCTGCCCCTCCCCCGTTCATGCTCTGTCTCTCTCTGTCCCAAAAATAAATAAACGTTGAAAATAATTGTTTGCTATTTAAATTACTATTTTATAAGCAATGACTAGTCAAACTGAGGGAATATCTAATTATTAGTTGTGATTGGTATTGGATTCTTGGAACACTAAATTGATAAGAAATTATTGAGAAACACTCCTAAACCCTCTATCTTATATTTCAATATCAAAATAAGATTTGAAACATCAATGATTTCTTAAAAATATCCATCAGAAAAGAAAGTAAATTAAAGAAAATCAGCCAATTCTTTGTGTTTATTGGAAGTTTTGTTTCTTCTTTATACCAAAGGCTTATAAAAAGATGCGGCAACAGCCTAGGAAGTAGCTAAGACTGATAAAAATAAGTAAAACAGGCTGTAACAAATTCACACCATAGTGAACAAATCTTAGCATTATTTGACCTCGTGCTTGACTACATTTACTTTACTCCAAATATTTTAAAACAGTGAGTCTGAAGCAAGTTTAAAAACTGAAAAAAAATCATGTAATAGAATAAGATTGATATCCCAAACATAGAAAAAGAATAAATCAGTAAGAAAAAGACAGCCCAATAAAAAGTATGTAAAGAAAATTCTCAGAAAAGATACAAATTTCCAATAAACATAAGGAAAGATGATCAATCTCTTAATAATAAAAATTTAAGAGGTTAACAACATGCAGTGTTGATGATGAAGAGTTGAAATGAGCACTCCGCTGGTACCCCTAGAGAGAATGTAAATGGCCACAGTACTCTGGACAATTTCAATATTTGCTATAGCTTCAAAGCTTCACTCCCTTCCTCCCTGCTACAAATCCATCTTAGAGTAACACACGTACATAGGGCACAGGAGTCACGTACACTAACATTCACTGTCTGAATGCCCATCAGTGGGGGAATGGCGTACTAAGTATGTTTCAGTACATCCATACTTAAGAATAGCAGATAACAGTTAAACAGAGTGAGGTAGATCCTCATATATGCAAAGAATTTAAGACACAGTGTTGGGTGAAAAGAAACAAGTACAAAATAATACTTTGGTATAATGACGTGACGTAGAGAAAAAACCCACACAACAGATTTGTATATGTACGGGGGATACACATCAGATCTATGAAAGCTTACACCGGGGAGGGGAATGATGAGGTGTGGAAGCGGGTGTGAGGACTCTTGTTTTGAGTGCTTTATTTGCATTTTTATGTAACAAGAATATAGTCATCATGCAACAAACATATACTCACATACTCACATATTACTTGAGTAGTTTTTGAAAAATGATAAAAAGCATTAAAGCACTATAAATAAACAGAACCAGTATAATTAGACAAGTAACTTTACAAAAATTCTGCACTGGAAAAAAACAATAAAAATATTTGCATGTGTAAAAAGTTGAACAAGTATCACAATGCATAAAAAATTATTGATATGTAGAAAACAATGATTAGAAATACTCATTTTGATCACTTCTTTGTTTCAGCCAGTTCACTTTGAATTGTGTTTGTTCCATGTTAGTTCTTTTGTAATTGTCTCATCAAAGCCTCACAAAAATCTGGACATTATTTGTTATAAGGCTCATTTTATAGAAGATTAAAATTGAAACAGGGTTCAAGGGAATGCATGAAGTTAGTAAGTGGAGACCTGAGTTCATGTGCACCTGTATGAATTCATAACCCACAGGCTTTCTGCTATACTGTGTGACCCCTCCTCCCCACTACCCCGGTGTCTTTACTTTCTTAGTCAAAAACAGCAAGTATGACTTACTGAGAGGAAATCATAAGACTTCTCTCCAAAGAGCCTGTTGGCAGTTCTAAGCAAGTACCGTGCATCAGTCCTGTTGATTTCAGTAAGAAGCGACTGGAACCTCTGGTGGACATCACCTCCTCCGCTGCTCTTACTTAAAGAAAGTGTCTGAAATGAAAAACAGAATACAAATACCTAACTTAAGTGTGCCTTGACTGCAGGAAATGGATACAACACCAAACTCTGCCTAAGAACTGTACAGATCCTAACTAGAGCTTAAAAGAAGATGCATCCTGGGGCACCTGGGTGGCGCAGTCGGTTAAGCGTCCGACTTCAACCAGGTCACGATCTCACGGTCCGTGAGTTCGAGCCCCGCGTCGGGCTCTGGGCTGATGGCTCAGAGCCTGGAGCCTGTTTCCGATTCTGTGTCTCCCTCTCTCTCTGCCCCTCGCCCGTTCATGCTCTGTCTCTCTCTGTCCCAAAAATAAATAAACGTTAAAAAAAAAAAAAAAAGAAGATGCATCCAGTTGAAGACAAAAAGCAGCTCGAAAGCCACCCAGTTTGCCATCCTCCAGCACTTTCTGCAAGGAGTCAGGGCACTGCCCGCACTGGCATCAGTGGCAGTGCCCCTTCACACACCGTATTCTATGTGCTCTATAGGGCTGCAAATAAGGCTGCCAACAGGCCTCCCATCTCTGCAAACACAGGCTGCTCCTCATACTGAAAGGTCTGACCTCTCCCATCCATCCTTGGGTCTGGCTGGTGCTGTGATGGGGTCTGGCCACCAGAATGCAGAAGGGACACTATTCCAGGCCGGGGCCTTACAAGGTCTGGCAGCTCCATATTTAATCTCTCATACCCCAGCCACCATGATGTGAGGAAGCCCAGGGTATCCCGCTAGAGGCCACATGGAAGGTCCTGGAGAGCTGACACCACATGGGGGAACTACCTATAGGAGAATGGAGGCCCCAGACACATGATAGAGGCCTTCCTAGATCATGCGTGATCCCAGCTGACACCATGTGGGTCAGACCACAGAATCTGAGAAATAATCAGCCTTTGCTATTTCCAACCACTAAGTCTGGGACAATTTGTTTTGTAGCCATAGAAGTTCATGCAGCAATCCAGACATGGACTTCTGCCCTGACAACATCCAAAACATGGCAGCAGCTTTGGGCCCAGGCAGCTGGCAAAGGCCGGGAGGAAGGAGAGTGAGGAGATGGTAAGCAGAGGCTAGAAAGCCACTGAAGAAATCACTAGCAGTGGCTGGAGAAAAGGGGCTCCTGGCATGTCCCAGCAGAAGACACCTGCAGTGGCGAGGAAGGTTGGGCGTTTCCCCAACAAACCAGGTATCTGGCTAAGTAGATGTCCAGAAGGAATGGGGCTTGTAGCTGCCTAGGATAGAGTACAGGAAGGGAAAGAAGAGGTAAAGAAGGAATTGTTTCATTTTCTTTTTTTTTTTTAATGTTTATTTTATTTTTGAGAGGGAGAGAGAGACAGAGAGTGTGCAGCGGAGGGGCAGAGAGAAAAGGAGACACAGAATCCGAAGCAGACTCCAGGCTCTGAGCTGTTAGCACAGAGCCCGACACGGGGCTCAAACTCCCAAAATGCAAGATCATGACCTGAGCTGAAGTCAGAGGCTTAACCGACTGAGCCACCTAGGCTCCCCTAGGAATTATTTCATTTTCAAGCAGAATTTAAAGGAAAATTTTCCAACCTAAGACTTGGTGGGTAGAAAATTAAAAGGTTTCTTATTCCCAGCCTCTCCAGCTGGCAAATGATTCTAAATTGAGAAATGGCCTCAGAACAAAGATCAAGTCCAAGGTATGGGCTTCAAGGCAGGATCAAGTTCTACTTTATTAAAACCTGAGAAAGATGAAGGCAGACTAGGTGCCTCACAGACCCACTCAGCTAGACAAAGGGGCTTCTGAGCATCTTAAGGACATTGTCAGCCAGTAGTCTCATCCCAGGCCAACACAGAGTCCTGCCTCAAACAGGTTTGTGCATATTATCATTTATATCACTATGTCAATTATAAATTGACACATAGAAACCCCACAACTGTTTAGAGGAAAAACTCTGCCGACATCTCGATCTCACACTTCCAGGCTCCAGAACGGCGAGGAAATACACTTCTGTTCTTTAGGCTCCTCAATCTGTGGTACCTTGTTATAGCACCACTAGCAGACTCAGACATCCCCCCGCCATTTTTGAAGAGAATGTCACAAAACTCTGCACCCAGGAACCATACTAAACAACCTCAGAGCCCTGCTCCTCCTGGACTTCAAGCCCAAGACTGGACCTTCTGGGGTCTTGGGAAGGGGGTAAATATACCTTACCTGTGGAGGACTGGGAATCACTAGGGGCCAAAGGGCAGACCACGGCAGTCATCAGTAACCCAATGAGTTAATGCCTTCAGTATTCACATCGTTATACAGCCCCTCTTTGACTGACTTTGGACTTGGCCACCTGACTGGTGTCAGCCAACAGCACGTTAGCAAACATGATGTACCAGAGGCTTGATAAGCATTTGTACATTTAAGCTGTTCCTCTTGGAAGCTGGGTACTATCCTGTAAGGATGCCCAGGCTACCCTATCAAGGAGACACCACGTAGAAGCCGAAGGGAGGAGACAGCACATGGAGGAAGCCACATGGAAGAGGCCCAAGACCCCACACCAGTGACCCAGCTGGGACCGAGTGGAGCGGAGGCATCGCCCAACACATTCAGAATCCTATAACAGTAATTATCATCTTAAGCCACTAAGTTTTACGGTGCTGTTACTCAATAAGAAACAATTGAAATACTACTGAAAACATTTTTGGCTGACAAGTGCCACTCTAAGAAGGTTTTACACTTAAATGAGAAAATTAAAACAAAAATTTCTAATAATCGGGGTGCCTGGGTGGCTTAGTCGGTTAAGTGTCCGACTTCGGCTCAGGTCATGATCTCACAGTTTGTAGGTTCTAGTCCTGCATCAGGCTCTGTACTGGAAGCTCAGAGCCTGGAGCCTGCTTTGGATTCTGTGTCTCCCTCTCTCTCTGCCCCTCCCCCACTCACACTTTGTCTCTCTCTCTCTCTCTCAAAAATAAATAAACATTAAAATTTTTTTTTAATTTCTAATAATTGAAAAGCAAGTGACAATATCCAAAATATATCACAGAACTCAACTTGAACCTTGTGACTTTACCCCTACTCAAAAACTCAAACTCATGTATAAACTATCATCAGGGGTAGTGAGATCACTCATTCTTCTAAATGGAGCACACCACTTCCTCCCCAACAGATCTGAGACATCCATTCTGGGGTGCCCACTCGCACAGGGCTAACTCTCTGTCCCCATCCTGCAACACCAGCAGAGGGATCTGTCAAGAGCAAATCCTGGATGTGAAAGTGGAGGACCAGCCCAACTGACAAATTAATGGCATTTAACGGTTGCCCAGAAGTAGCTTCAGGTACATACCTGGGCCATCTGGGCTGCAGTGTTTCCCTTGGCGCCCATGAAGACCATGGACAGGGCAGAAGAGATGCTCATGGGCGAGAAAAACACATTTTTCGAGTTGTCTTCACCCAGCTTTTTCAGCAGACTTAAGGCAAAGGTGCCGTTTGCTTCTGAAAGAGTATCCATGACGGTGAGCCTGAAACAACAGATTTAAAATCAGTATCACATAAGTACAGGCTTACATGCTGACTGTATTTCACTCTGTTATTAATAGTTACCGTTTTGGTTCAGTGGGCAAATGGGTACCTACACAAAACTCTATTTCTTTTGTGGGCCCTCAAAATTATTTTGCATGTTTCTAATATTACATGAAAAAAAAAACCAAACAAACAATGATATTAATAATACAATCCTGTTTTGGGGGGGGACAGGGGACTGCTACGTGCACTTATCTGTGAGCACAGAGAAAGCGTGGAAGGTTGTACACTTGACAGCTTACCTGAGTTACTTCCTGGGGGTGGGACCAAGAAAGGACTTAATTGGCTTTTGCTTCTATTTCTGTATTGTTTGGCATGATGTGGGGCTTATATGTGTTGTTTTATAATTTAAAAACCATTCAAATGATAAATCCAACCACAAGGTTACACACACACAAAAATATGGTTGAATGCTTTTATCATGTGGGAAAGAGGAACCAAATTTTAGGGTAGCCTGTGGCCTGAAGATAAGAGATAAATCAAACCACATACGAAGTCATACAAATGCCTTAAAAACAAGGACTTTTGACCTTCAATTCTCCTTCTATGAAACCTGTGCTTGTGTCAAAGCCCAAACCCAGGGCCACGTTGCCCAGATCTGTTACTGCCCACAGGCCCAGGCCTTCTTGCCCTTTGTTCTGGACAAGGGCACTGGATAGCAGGTGCCTGCCCATGGCCGCCTCTGGTTACAGGCTTCAGAGGTCAGGGGTCAGACAGCACATACTGGGCATGTAGGGCATGTGGCCACATCCCTGGTGGCCTAGGCAGGGTCCAGAGGAGGAATAGTTCTGGGCAGTCAGGGATAGGGTGGATGTGAGAGTCTTCAAGCAGGTTAAAGCACAGTAGGTCTTTAGAAAGACCTATTATTGACTCCCCTTTGCCATGGGGGATCTGAAGTTCACAGAAGTGAAGTGATGTTTCCAGGCTAAGGAACTGAATAGCTAAGGCTGAACTCAGGGCCAGCAAACTGTCTTTCCACTGCTCCTCTAGATATCCCCACTTCAGGAAGAGCCTGAAGTACAGCACAGAGGGGTCAGGAGAGAAGGCAAGAGGCAGCAAGGGGTCCGAGCAGTCAGTCAGCTGTAGATGCAGCAGAACAGGCTGGTGGGGAGCAGATTTTGGGGAAAGCAGCACCTGCCTGCTCTGATATCACTTACAGAAGTTTACAAACTATGTTTCCCCAGATTGAGGAAATGACTCAGTTGAGCTATGGGGGGGAATCTACAGAACAAGGAAAGGGAGAGGCAAGAGGGGACATCTTCATGGTGTAGAAGGGAAAGGGAAGGAGGTATCTAACAGAAAGACCCCGTGAAGAGAATGAGGAGTTAACCATTCTTCCCCGAGGATGGCTTTATGATTATAACTACAGTGGTTGGCTGCATATGGGCAGCAAAGATATGCCCATACTAACCCTTGGAACATGAGAATGTTCCCTTACACAGCAAAAGAGACTTTGTAGATGTGATTATAGAAAGGATTTTTTTTCATGTTTATTTTGAGAGAGAGAGAGAGAGAGACAAAGCACAAGCAGGGGAGAGGCAGACAGAGAGAGAGAGGGAGAGAGAGAATCCCAAGCAGGCTCCTCACTGTCAGCACAGAGCCTGATGCAGGGCTCAGTCTCAGGAACCATGAGAACATGACCTGAGCCAAAATCAAGAGCCTGACACTTAACTGACTGAGCCACCTAGGCACCCCTAAATGAAAGATCTTGACGTGGGGAGATCATCGTGAATTATTCAAGTGGTCCCTAAATGTAATCACACGTATCTTTATGAGAGGCAGGCAGAGAAGAATTTGAGCAATGAAGAAAGCAATGTGGGGACTGAAGCAAAATGCTACCATGCTGGCTTGAAAACTGGAGGAAGTGGGGACAAACAAGGAATGCAAAAACTGCATCTCTAGAAGCTGGAAAAGGGGTGGTGACAGACTCCCCGCTACAGCCTCTGGGGAGAGCACGACCCTGTCAAAACCCCGGTGTTGTTCAGTGAAGCCTGTCAGCCTTGAGGCCTCCGGAAGCATGAGAGAACAAATGCGCTGAGCTTGCGGGCATCTGCTACAAGAGCCACAGGAAACTAATATTGCAATTTACATACCTGATAAATTTTATTTACTATCCTTGTTTTAAACATTTTGTTTGCAAACTCTATTTATTCACTATAGAGAATAGCTGGGGTGCTGAGCACTCCTGGTTTGCTCAGACTTTCCATACATATCTGAAATTACTAATTTCTAACAGAAGTACATAGAACATACACCTTATTAAAATTCTTCTGAAATAATGGATTCTTTGTTGATACAGAAATAACTTCAAGATTTTGCAGACCCTTGGGAACATCAATAGAAACAAAAGTAGCTATTCGATGGAACTGATGCAAAAATTATATTGTTTATTTGGATTTTACATCAGCAAGTGCTGCCTGCTTCTCAATTTTAAGAGAAACAACTGTGAAAACAGGTTTAAGAATGAAGAATTAGGTACGAGGACGTACCACAGGGCAAGAGGCACAGTCCCAAGCATTCCTGACACAATCCAATGTCAAGACTCAGGCAGGTGTCTGTGGGTCCCCCACCACACAAATCTTCCTCTTAGCTGGGGACAGGGACACCTCTGGCTTGGCCCCCAAGATGGCTCAGCCCCCACTGATGCTGGCTACCCAGCCCCTCAGCGAATTGAGAAAGCTCAAAGAGCAGTAGTTCCTCAACATAAAGCAGCTTCAGTCTTCTGGCTTTAAACACTGATCCTGGAAAAACCAAGCCAGGACATTCAGAGGAAAAGGCACAAGTCAGGAGGGAGATGAGGTTTTCAGTTCTGGCTCTGGGACTCTGAATGTGTTACTCGGTTCCTGCTCCCTGCATGAGGAAGAGGAGGCCAGGTAATCTGTGTGCCCTGCCGTCTTCGATGTCTATTGTTAACATGAATGCCGAAAGAAGAGCCAGAGAGGAGTTTACTCTTCAAAGCCCAAGGTGAAGTCTAACAGCATTCCATTTCTCAGCTGACAATGATGGATAGCTGTTAAAAGTGAAATTATGTTCACACTCAGGGCGCCTGGGTGGCTCAGTTGGTTGCGGCAGACTTCAGCTCAGGTCGTGATCTCACCATTCGTGGGTTCAAGCCCCACATCAGGCTCTGTGCTGACAGCTCGGAGCCTGGGGCCTGCTTCAGATTCTGTGTCTCCCTCTCTCTCTGCCCTTCCCCTGCTCATGCTCGCTTGTGCTCTCTCTCTCTCAAAAATAAATGAAACATTTAAAAAAGTTATATCCAAGTCCTATGAAAATTGTTAAATAAGAAAGAAACATGAAATCAATGATGGTTGTAGGCTTATTCCAGATATGCAGGATAATCTTATAGCAGAAAATAAGTTAATCATGAAATAACTGAATTGCCCACTCATAACAAATGTCCTTAAAACAAAAAGAAAATGGTACTTCCTATACTTCCTTAATGTGACAAGGAGTTGGGGCGCCTGGGTGGCGCAGTCGGTTAAGCGTCCGACTTCAGCCAGGTCACGATCTCGCGGTCCGTGAGTTCGAGCCCCGCGTCAGGCTCTGGGCTGATGGCTCGGAGCCTGGAGCCTGTTTCCGATTCTGTGTCTCCCTCTCTCTCTGCCCCTCCCCCGTTCATGCTCTGTCTCTCTCTGTCCCAAAAATAAATAAAAAAAAAATAAATAAAATAATGTGACAAGGAGTATCAGCCATCATCAATGATAAAATGTTAGAAACAGTTCCCTTGTGCCTCAAACAGGAACAATAACTAGTGATTACATTAAAAAGTTTTAACTTCAGAAAAAATAAATACCCATTTTTGAGTATATACTACACACTGGGACCTATATTAGTACTTTTCCTAAATGACTCTTATAACCTTGTAAAGCTGGTTGAGAATATCAGCATTTGATAAGCAAAGAAATGGAGCCATTGCTCTTTTATCACAAGGCTATACAAATGGTAGAGTGAAGGCTAGAAACCAGGTCTGCATGGCACTGGAGTTCAATCACTAAGGCATATACACTTCCAAAAAAAAACAAAAAACAAAAAAAAACAAAAAAGGAGAGGTGGAGAGCAAATTCAAGATACCTTTTTAAAACACAATTTTTGAAAGTTAAAAAACCATTAATTTCCAACAATGACTAAGATAGGTATTCCTTCCTATACTGTGTAAATGATCCTATAAATTGCTATGCCAATATTTCCAGAGCATAATTTGCAATTAAAAAAATAAAAATAAAGGACAGGGCGGCAGCACATGGAGAGGTCGCCTCAGCGTCTCTCACTCTACAGAGACTGCAGTGGAATCTGCATGGCTCAACCACTGGGAATCCATGATGGAGAAGAGGGGAGGGGCTTGTGACAACCAGCACATGGATCTTTGCAGACCAAGTTCATGCCTGCAGTGTCCACATAGTAATCCCACCTGGAGGCTTTGCTCATCTGTAGAACTAAGTCAGGGATGCACTCTGACCAGGGAACACACCAGAGTGGAGATCTGCCTGATTCAGATCATCAAACGAGGAGTTCTGCCAGCCCTAGAGCCCAGTCTGCCCATGCCTGGGCAAGATGCTGAGTCATAGCCCCACTCGCAGCTGCTGAGAGTGCCTTCCAGCCCCATCTGACCAGAAGGCCTGGTGACAACTCCTGGAAGCTGTGCTGCCCACTGGTGCTCAAGCTGAGAAGTGGGCAGGCAGAGCTGACTGCCCCCAGAGCAAAGCCAGTACCAGGTACCGAGGCAGTGGGATTAATTCACAGAGGATTGAGGGTAACTCCAGGACTCTCCCAACCAGACAGCCTGTTTGGGAAACTGAAGGTAACTTGGAGCAGCCTTCCCTCTCCCACCCAGGCAAGGTAGCTGAATCACAGCCCCACCTGCCTGTGGAGAGTATCTTCTGGCCCCACCTGAATAAAAGGGCTGGAGACAACTCCTGGGAGCTGTGCAGCCCAGGGG